GGTTTGGGCTGAAATCCACGGACAACGCTCATTTCTGTTGAAAATGTTACATTGACCAGGATATCCGCGTGAAGATATTGGGCCTAACTGTGCTGTGCTGTGCAATGGAACGTTGAATATTATGAGAATGTAAGGGTTTGATTTTGAATCTAGGAAGCACGTGTGGTAACATCTTGCATGTGGAAATCTGATACGGCAGTGTTTCAAATAAACATTCTGCAACGCAGAAAGACCTCTGTTGGAACTGCAAAAATTCATATTACGTTGACCGGAGGTAGTCATGATTAGGTCGAGTGTGATGATGTAAACCTGTCTTCGATGACTCTATCCCTATGCTCAGGACGGAGCTGTTGTTGGGGTTCAAGACCTACTCATAGCAAATGCACTCATTTTTATGAAGCTTCGGTGGGGCTCTTGATTCCGTCATCCAAACGGGGTATTAATACAAAACTGATCTCATTGATCTTTGTGCCTTTAGTCTGAGGTCAGCATAATGAGTACAGCGAGTGTTCCTCTACAATTACTATTCACTGATTTCAGTGGAGTTTCAAACTATCACCCCTTTGCGCGTTTTCATGGTGAACTTTGCGAAGATTGCTCTTCGAACGTATGAAATGCAAGAAAAGCTCCACGAGGCAAGGAGGACTGAGGAACATCTGAAGGTGCGACTTTTTCTAGTCAACTCTTATATCCGATGTAAGCTTGTCGAAGAGAACGTCATAGCTATGAGCTCTTAGGTTTCTAATGATATTGCGAGATCCCGGTGAAGAGAAAATTGTCGTTCCATTAAAATGTATCCCTTGATCTGTTTGCTATGTTTTGTGATGGATGGGCTGCAGCGATCACAGCGCTATTACAACTGTGCAGTTAAGCGTCCGATTATCAAGTATCTGCTAATATTCACGGGTAAAGCAACATCAATGCGCTTCGCTTCGTAAACCATCCCGTGATCAGCGATCAACCCTCGGAGCTTTCGCTTGTGCGAATATTTATTATGTAAGATAATTACGTCTGCATATTAGGACGCAGCTGCGAAGAACTCATTATTTGTCATTTGCTGTCTACTCATCATGCTTGCACCGAAGTTTACATTCAGTTTCCATTAGACCTTGAATTTTAATCCAGGTTGGTTGATTGCGGGTAGCAACTACAGCTCATGGGCGCGTATTTAACGGTTAATACAATGCGTTTCGCTGCTAAACGCCAACCCTTTTTATCATGTGCGTCTTGCGACTCAACTTGGCAGCGTACGCTATCAAATCCAAAAAAATAGAACATTATACTTGTTCCTATTTTCATTTTTTAACTGAATTTTCTTCAAGCATTGACACGAAATTCAAGCATTTATGCCACACGTCAGTCCCTAGTGGTGACAGTAGGAGCTGATGGTTCAGCAGGATGGGATACTCATCTGTTCACTCTGAAAGATAAGCTTTTGGGTGGTTGAAACTTCTGGCATGTAGGGTGAACAGCATTTAGACCTTGATTTAGTTCCACTTGAAAAGCCCTTTTTGTTCGGACGGCGAACGATGAGAGTACGGAACTTTGCAGAGTCTATAGCTCAGAACTATGGTTTTGTCCACTAGAGCAAGTTGACACTGCAGTTCTCGAAAACCTATCAGCAACATGCCAATCGACTCATGCAGTTCGTTTTCAAACAAGTCTCAGTAGAGCACTAACTTTTACTGGTGTTCTGTGGGCTTCGTTCGGGAAATAATAACCAACGCGGGGAGAGCATTAAACGAACGACATTCGAAAAAAAATATTGTGGAAAAGGTAATGAGTACATACCTTTTTGACAACACTCGGTCACTGTTTGCATATAACGACTCTAATATGCGTGCTTCAAAATTATTACTTTGACTCGCCAGATAATATTGTTTCAGAAATAAGTAGTAGCGAAATGCAGTGTATGAGCAAATGCTAAGAATAAGTTTGAAAAAAATGTAAGCATAAGTCCAAAAGTCTGTTTTGCAGATTGAGGAGGCAGAAAGACGTGCAAGAGTGGGTGCGTCCGAGTACGATGTGTTCGATGTCACCTTTGCTTCACAGGACTTAGCACTGAATAAGGTTTTCTCCATACACATGATTAGAAATGAATTCACTTTCTGATCAGTCTGGTGAAATGATCTCACTCTCTGAATTAATCTTAAAATCGAAATCTATAATCGTGAGGAGCATTATGAGCCAATCAGAGGCATATTCGGAAAACTTCGAAGAATTTGAATCATCTTGGAAACGATTTATGCATGCGAGATGCTTGCGAACGTAGGTAACCAGCTGNTGGATTCAAGCGATTCATTGTCGTCATTAACCATAGAAATTCATATCCTGATTTCACATTCTGACAGGGAGAGGCAGTAAAAAGGGTTCACTACTATCTGCGCTACTTCTTACTTATAGTGCCTACGCAGGTGATACTTCTAAGGAGATAATTCTCATTGAAACTGCACAGAACCTTTTACTTATTTGTAACTCCGAGTCATGTTGTTTAACGCCATTTCGTTTTCGAGAAAAGTATTCTAAAGTTGTACACTCCGTTGCGGTGTTGGTGCGCGAAAACGCAGGTGAACCCGGTTGAAACTTTTCGATAAACCCATTCGCGTATGTGCATTCATTTTTTGGGACGTCGATGGACACTGGGAGGGCCCATTCTCGTTCACAGCTCGCAAAAATCTCATTTGACTATTCAGCGCTCTTCAAAGCCCAGACCTTGTTCGTGTTTGAATGTATGAAAAATTCAATACTTTGTGTGGGTACTTTGTATCACTTTTCTTACTCGGCAGTCGGCACTAGGCCCAGGAATGGGTCGCTTAAAAGAAAGACTCGTTACCAACTATCTGAAAGGCTTCTTAAATTTGTAACCGTTTCAATGATGTTAAAGGGACTTTCGTTCCGAGTGCGTCAGAATAATCATTGGTAAACCTTGAGAAGGTCAAGGTGGTCATTCCTCGAACTCAGTGGGTTTGAATAATGCTGCTGTCAATAGTCCTTCATTAATTTCGTGTTTTGCTCCTAACCGACCTTTTTGGCTCAGTTGAGTTTTTGAGTGTTCAGAGAGTTTTTTAGCTGTTCATGACCGATTTTTTGCCTTGCGAAATCACAATAAGATCAGGTTTCATCTCATTTGAATGAGTAAATTCGATCTGCTAGCAAATTAACTTCTTTGTCCTATCTTGGTTAGTTCAGCTCAACTGCAAATATCTCTTCATTAGTAAATTTCATATTGTATATTTCATCAATTTGAAGAAAAAACCAATGTACCTGTATTAAATATGCCTCAGTTTCTTTTTTTCTAGACTCAAGAACGTGCAATTCCGACTGAGCCACCTAGAGCATCACTTAATGTTTTGCCAGAAACCGCAGAAGAGGAGACAGCTAGTGGTGGCACATTGAACTCATGCGAAAGCTTGTGCTCCACATCTCCAGCACAACCACCGCCAGCGAGCGAGCAGGATGTCGTTCTAGCTCGTACGAATGCCGTCAAGAATTACGTGACACAACAGTCAGAAGCTGTAGCAAGAGAAACAGTTCAGGTAAATTTTATCTTTTTTACAATTGGTTCCCCACTGTGAAAGCATGGAATGAGAAGACAGTTTTATCCAAGACATTCGTACTACCACTGAACTCCAATCTAGCATTAAGTGTTGGATTCAATGAGACTTCTTTGGGCCAGAGCCCCAGAAAGCGAATTATGAGCGGTTTGCTGTAACGAGAAGCTTTTTTGCACGCTTGCTGTATTTGCTGCTTTATGATGTGCTCTGAGCGCAAGATCTTCGGAAAGAAAGAGGAAGTTTGAGGAGTTTTGCTCTATGGACAAAGTTTCGAGCGATTGCTGAGGTCTTCTGCAGAAAGGTGCCACCACTCCATCGAAGAGCTCTCACAACGATCTGCTTGAAGTGGCCGTTGTTGTACTTGTTGGACGACTATGGTTTGGGCAACATAATCTAAACACATTCTAGGGAGGTGCAGAAGGTAACAGAAAGCTTTTTGTCTGCTGTCTCACAATCTTGTTATCGACTGCCAGGAAAGTAGTACGTGGAAAGCGATTACAATGAGCCTCAGCTCACCGATTACCTAATGATAACGAGGATAAGGCATTCTTTCGTGCTTTCGCTTCATCACCGCCGAATATCACGTGCAGATGTTAAGTATATCCTTCTTATATATAAAGCAGTAACTTGGTTTGTCGGTTTGTCGGTATGTCGGTATGTCGGTCTGTCCGTCCGGGTTGCTTTATGATTATGATAAACATAGTGGTATGGAAAACTTATCCTACTTTATATAATTCGCGAAGTACGTCTGTTGGTGTGTCGGTGTGTTTGTGTGTGTGTGTGTCGGTGTGTGTGCCTGACCGGAAATTCATAACTCCTGTCCCCGTGGCGTTCAAACTTGGTAGGAGTGAACGGGGCAGGATGGGAACACCTTTGGTAAGTGGCAGGACTGGACTCCGTTCACAGGGAGCGAGGCGTGCACGATAAAAATTTTAGGACGCAAGTTCATAACTCCTGTCCCCGTGGACCTGGAGCGTTCAAACTTGGTAGGAGCACGGGCGGCAGGAGATGAACATTTATCGTAAGTGGGAGGACCGGACCCCGCTCATAGAAGGCGAGGTTACGCCAAAATTTTCAGTTTGGCTCTAGGGCGTTTAAACTTGATAGGAGGCAGGCGGCAGTATGGAAGCACTTATGATGAGTAGTACGGCCGGTCTCCACCCCCTAGGGACGGGTTTCCGCAAAATAAATGAGTGGAAATCCATAACTCCTGATTCCGTGGACTTGGAGAGCAAAATCAGTAGGAGGAGGGAGGATGGAAACACTGACAATAGAAGAGGCCCTAGAGAAGAAGATCCACTCACCAATCGCCTCCTAGCGCCTTTCTTATTTACGATCTAGCTTTGACTTTTTGATATGTTTCATTCGACAAGAAAGGTAAGTGGTGTGATTATAAGGAGATGAATTTGGTTCACTTCTTGCTATCAGATTACGACCGCTACCATTGAGGAACATTGATGGTAGCCAACATAGTAGCTTCAGCCGCGGTGAAGTCTCTGAATACTATCTTTCTCTGAATAATCGCCTTTGTGACATTATACGATGTTCTATTCGGACACAGCGAAGATGGCTTACAAGAAAAATCGCTCCCAATTCGGAGCTAATTCTCAGGGTGTAGAGCTTTCTAAGAAAAAAGAGAATCCGAATTATTATTTACGCATAGCAAATTTGTCACAGGAAGGAGGAACGCCCGGCGTAGCCGGGCGAACCCGTTAGGAGGAGAGCCTGGCGTTAGCCGGGCGATTCGACTGGTTATTGTATAAAGCTGCAACAATTTACTGCTAAATGAGCGGATCGACTTGCCCGGTTTCAGAAATAAGCGGGAAAATTGGGCGACGCTATCGCAAAATGACTATGGAGTCTTTATTGCAGGCAGCCATATCCACCGGATAGCGCTGAAAATCAACAAGAGAAGCTTCATAGAGAGCAACTTCGAAAAAAGCTATAGATGAATTCAGGGCTTTAAATCTAGCTATCTCAAGGGAAGGGCTATTGACAGTTACTGGATTATCGTAGGCGTCATAAATTGTTCTCCTATTGCTGCAACAGTAGTTTTTCTAATAACTTTATTTCAAATGAGGGAGAACATGACTACCCTTGAAAATAGGGCAGTAAGCTCTCCTGAAGGCACTGGACAGATGAGTCACTCAACCGCTCACCATTGAAAAAGCATTAATGTTGCCAAGAATTACGTGACAGCATCTTGAGTGTTCGAGGTAAAGGAGCAGCTCCGCTCGTTGGAGGCAAGGAAAACTTCTAATGAATTACCACTTCCGAAATATCTCGAAAGCGTGGTAGGGCTGCAGATATTCAATATAAAGCGTGAAAGCGTTTTACAATCGGTTGCGACACGTTGACGAAAAGCTAAATGGGTGCCTGTGGGTCCACCGGCCAACTGCGCCATCGCTGCATGGTGTAGTACTACTCGGCGTTTATGGTATACAGTGGAGGTGTAGCACAGCTGGAAGGAAGTTCCGTGACTTTGTTCCTAAAATCGTTGTACAGATTCGGTGGGTTGGTTTGAGAACAGTTTTCGAAATCACGGCGTTATTCATCTCACGTTGAATTGCCGCTGCGACCTAGCCTCCTTCCTTTGTCAGTAGCCCTTAATCAGTCAGTCCTTTTGGGCCTTATATCCCCATTCCACGAATGCGAATTTCAAAGTCTCTTGTTGGAGCATAGTACGTAAGAAATCCGGGGGTACTCGCCTTTCAAGGCGTTTCACGAATGCTTTCATCCTCTAAGACAAGTCTGATGAAATCATCAAAAGAATGGGTGTCTAGGTAGGACCTAGGCAAGTATCTAACTCCGTTCCTCGGGCTCCTTGGACGCTGTTCGGTCGTATGGCCCTCCTTTAGCCTATGCTCATTGTTTTTTTTTTTTTTTGGAATACAGACAGCTGGAAAATAAAGCACCAGTTCCCTGTGTTACCTGGTTACACTCCTTATATAGCAGCAGTACCTTAAAAATATACTACATTCAGCAGAGATTCACTTACGAGATGACACCTCTCTCCTTCGAACCATAGCAAGACAGTGGATCTGAAGTTGCTCAGAATATACGAATCCTAGGTGATGGAACTGATCCTTTGTAACTTCAGACAAAATCACGTTGAGCGAGCTATATTACATGCCTCGAACACGTCTGGTATAAAGGTCGAAAACGATGAAGTTGGCGAATGAATTATAATAGATGAATTGTTGCAGTCTGACGATAATGATTCCGGTGAGCTGACTCGAGATGAAGACGAACGTGTGTCATTTTGTAGCCGGGATTTCAAACAAGCTCAAGGAATGGATATTGAAGTGAATCATCAACTGATTGTCTTTTCTGATATTTTATTCTCATGGATTTCGTGCCAAAAGGATTGCCATACTGACAGGTCGCTAGTAATGCCGATGAAGAGTGTGTACCACTTCATAAAGACAATGACAAAAACGGTACTCTGGTGGAGCGTGATTTTATGATACGAGACCAGGTAAGTGCTCTACCTAGTTATGTAAAGGTAACTTTTTTCATGCGTCTATCCTGCTTCTTATAATTTGCTGAATTGTGTCTGTTGGTGTATCGTTTTGTTTGTTTGGATTTTGGTGTGGATTTGTGACGGAAAATTCGTCGCTCCCATGCTCTTAGAATTCTAGCGTTCAAATTTGTAAGGCATACAAGCGGCAAGCTGAGAATAGTGATGGCAGATGACGGTAGGTGATAGCAACTGGAAAGGGCCGGGCAGGAGTCTTAGAAGGCTGAGTTCACTGGCTCCTTTACGGTCTACATTGTTGATAGTGGAATCTTGACACTCGGGTGGGGTATGTGAGATATCAAGGGATCATGGATGGTTGGTGCCGAGAACAGATAAAGCAAATAAGGATTATGAGGCAGCCATAGGAGGTGAACGCGGTTGTTACATTTTTGTTATCAACTAAAGTGCTTCTCACTTTGACAAGTGAAGTGGTGTTCGGGATGGAAACTGACTCGCGACAGGAACTGATAATGACTCGTGAGGAGCCATAGGAGACGAAGGTCATTAGGACCCTAAGGAGGTTAACAGAGTAACCTTAAATCCGTGGTTACGGAATAGGTAATACACACGCAAAGGTACACCTGGCAAACGTCGGTTAAGTTTATGAAGGGAGAAAACCGCTGGAGCTCTTATGCCTTGCTATTTGTTTTTAAGTGAAGCCCGAGACTTGAAGAGGTTGGGGTTTGGTATGGCGGGGATTATATAAAGGATCAAAATTTTATAACAATTGTGATTTGCACTGATAAGAGGGGTAACATAAAGGGATACGGATTTGGTTTATCCCTTGCTATTGTGCAACGAGATCGTTACGTATCAAAGAATGTGATCCAATGAAGAATCGCATTTCTCTTAATCTCCACTATTGGCTTACTTTCGATCTCCCATTTAAAAGTATTTTGAATAGAAATTTTGTTTTATTTGAAATTGAAAAACAAAAAGATTGCTCGAAGTTGGCGGAGCATTCCTGACTTTCCCCAAAGAGGTAGTCTGGCGTTACACGGGTGGTCCGATTGGCTCAAAGGGTCATAGGCAACGACTACTTTGACGGTTGATATTGTTGTTGTTATGATTCGACCCTAGTTCAATAGTGAACAAGCTCAGATTATGTATATCGAAGTGTCATTGTCTCAAAACACCCAGAGAAAGGAAAGGATTGAATTATTGAAGTAACGCCAGATATGGAATACACATGCATTGCGCTTTTCGTACAAAGTTCCTCTCTATCGTGGACCAATGCTGTGGATGACCTGCATGATTCAGGGTATTCTCTGTTTATAAAGATTAACTCCTTCAAACTCTCAGGATGTTGGAGTCGGTGATTTTTCGGATGACGATTCTGCCATAGATCCAGAAGCGGAGGATGATGAGATGAATAACAGTATGGAAAACGGGAACGGAAAGGTAAGCGGTGGGCATCATGGAGACAATCACAGAATCGGTGTTGCTTTTTTGTTCGGTAACGTCGCAGAGATGCAGCTGGGAAAATCGTGTGTAGACTGAACGACTATAGGCGTTGTTGGAGAGTAGTCTTGAATTGAGGGCACCGAAAAATGATCTTTTTACGAGTTGTATATGTTTCTATGAAAAGGATTTTCAGGTCATGGAACAGACAGCATATATTGATAAACAGGATGCGCATTCTAGTTCCTACTTTCCACCCAAGAAGAGTACCGATAAAGATTCCAACAACTACTCAACTCCGATCTCATCATCTCAGACTTTTGTTGAAGGCCAAACAAGCGCGCCGTCTTCACAACAGTCTCAACAGAATCCCATGAATAATTGCGCAGCTTCTCCCAGTAAGAAAGGTTATTTCTTTTTTTGCATCAAACCATTCATTACTCAATTGCGGGCTTTCACAGGCCCATCGCCGATGATGCCAAACTCCGAAAATCCTACATCCATGGACCCAAGCCAAGAAGCGGATGCAATCCTTAATACGGTAAATTCTTAGGAAACGATTACGTGTAAATATTTAGTATCGGAATTCTGCAGTTATTGTATTTTAAGCTCCTTAAAGCTCCGCCATCTCCAATCCAAGAAGAGATGGCTTTCGATTTCAATTGTAGCCTTGATAACGACGAGTTTGATCCCACAGCAGCACTTAATATCAGTGCACACAGCAACGGTAGCTTCTTCTTTGCGGAGTCGCTCCGTGGTGCATAAAAGTGAACTCAACTCATAATGAATTATTTCGGATCCTGGAGCGGATTTCCTATCTCTGATGGAATCGACCAATGAAAAAAGAGAAAAACAGCGTCAGAATTCCAGTTCGCCAGGTACAACAACTTCACAATTTTGTTTTCGATGTTGTTCGTCGATGGCCGATTTAACTTGATTTCAGCAAAAGACTTTTCATTCTCAATTTTCGGACTGGGAGGTGATGCTGCAGCTGATGAAGGTGACTTGCAATTCTTGAGTGAAACGTCATTCTGTATATATGCTAAGATTTCGTAAAATGAACCGACATTCACCTAGGATCCGATGGAGGCTTCGCCTTTGATTTTGGTGGTACTTCAAATGAGAATGAAGACAGGGATGATGGCAGATTTCAGTTCAATTTTAATGATAGTTCTGCCAATGACGGTTCTGGCGAAAAGACTGGCAAAAGTTTTAACTTGTTCGATTTTTGATTGCTGAATTCTTTGAAGTGGTCTGTTTCTGTCATATTTGTTTTTTTCAACTGCTACATCGTCTGCTATACCTCGGCTGTACGTTTGCTTTTTCATTGTGAATCTTTGTTTATGTTTGCTTTAGCTACGAATCTCGAAGTGGATCCGTTTGCTATATTCATATGGATTATGTATGCCTGTTCCATTTTAGCGTTAATTTTTCTAGATTATCAGAGTTTGTTTCCGGAAATCGAACATATTTTGGTGGAGGTTGCAAAGGCGAATCATATTTTTCTGTCCCAGTTCTCTAGAAACACCGCGCAGATATGAAGCTACCTAAAAGGAGTCGATTAAGCTATCAAGCTTTGCTCATACCGGTTTGTATTTTTACAAGTCGCGCAATTTCATTGCAGTTTGGAGGATAAGAAGTGCTGCTCACTACGATATGTTGGCTAGTATTTGCTGCATCCTGTACCATAGTGTTTTAGCTACAAAGTTGTTTTTTTTCAATTCAGTTGATTTGATTAAACGTTCACTCTAGGCCTTAAACGTTGATCCTTCTCTTGAAGCGTCCGTTTTTACCTGTTCTAACAGTAAGTGCTACATCGATTGCGTACGCTTTGTCTGGGTAGACTGTTACCAATTTGGCGAGATTCTCATCACATCTTCTCCCTCCCTCGAAGTTAAAACGCTCTACACTCGTAGGCAGCTCTGCTACGAATACCTGTTCAATTCTACAAAAAGTCGATACTTGCCACTACTGACCAAGTCGGCAGCTACATGTTGCTTCCCGTATTAGCTGAGATTTTCGCAAAAACAAGAATCCACTACGGACAGTGGGCTACTACAGTGGTCAAGTAGTGTGTCCTAGACGAGTGGTCGCGATGCAACATAGCCCTTGGTTACACAATTCACGTAAGGCAGTATTATTAACCGAATTCCCACGACAGGCGACAGTGGTTCCGCAGGCTGCAGTTACTGTAATCCTACACTATTCGAGCCTTTCCCTCTACAACACGCGATCGGATGGTGCACGTCATTCGGGCGGAAGAACCCATAAGTTCGTCTCTTTGCTCATGGTACCTTTTCGATAAGCCGCATATATGAGGGCTTTAGAGTTTATGTTGTCATATAAAGTGAGCTCGCGCGCATAGGAGAGCGTGCTCAGTCTCTGCTTCTGTAGGAAACTATTAGATTATATATAATTTATCCGAATCACACCGAAAATAGACAAACATATCAATCGGAATCAATAAGTTAGATGATAGCGAAGAGGCATTCAATACAGTTCAACATAATAATAATACAATATGACACAGAGGCTGAGATCATGGTGTCCAAGGCCTCGCTCCCATAGAGGAAGAAAGCCTGGGGCTGAAGTCCTCGGTGGCGAGCTCCCCACGACTCCTCGTTGACGTTCTTCTCGGTCGCCGCTTCGCCCTGAAATTCCATGATGAACCATCTTGCTACATCATCAGCTGAGCCGCATTTGCACGGCGCGGTTCACACCTCCCCTGCCCCCCTCCCCCCTTACCCGAAGTCCGACACGCACTCTAAGAATGTACATCGAAAAAAGAGAAAAAGGAAGTTTTTCACCGGAAGTTAGAGGGGGCGCTGTAGATATTGGGATAGCTCATCTGCTGGGACGACAGCTCCGATGGAATCTCCCCATTGCAAGGGGGTGTTCGAGTCTTTATGTAGTTCCTTATAATTCGGCAAGGCCAAATACGATCTGACCATGCCTGCAGCGAGAGCGACAGCTACGTTGAGACGGCGGTAATCGTTGAGGAACTCGGCTGCGCTCGAGAGAAATTAGTTCTGGTAGTAAGAAAATGACTACCTCCTTCTCTCTTCTCTTGTGCGGGTGGTTCTGTAGATATTTATATTAGACAAGTTTCCGCTCTTTTCGAGCCCGTACTGATTTCTTTTACCGTTACTAGCGCTACTGCGCTGAATAGACTGGGGTTTAAATGGCTCAGCGCTGTGATTCCATTGTGGACTACGGGTTTCACGATGCATCCTCGAATCCCGTTGGTTCCTGGGACCGTTTTGCACCGCCATGTTTTCGTCGTTCTTGACGCATAAAAATACGTGGTGCTTTTGACAACATTGGACACAAGCTCCTCTTTGGCAGTCAAAGCTGCTATGATTTAAAGTACAGCACTTCCAGCAACTGTTCTCATCTTTTACAATTTTTCGGCGACGACTTTGATCCGTGACGGTTCGACATGAAAAGGATGAGTGATTGTTTTTATGACAAGATGTACTTATCTTCAAATTGGGGGCGCGGGTTAATTGCCATATTATGTCCTTTGGTGGAACCGCTGCTTATGGGATGACCCAACCTACCCTCAACGTATTGCTTATCGGCACTCTCACTCCTTAATTGAGCCATCAATCCTCCCGTTGTGAGACTACCTTGAGATCGCCCCTGTTTCAAAAGAGACTTTACGACATCCTGAGGAAATTTCAACAATATTGTTTCGCACCATATTGGATCACAGGTTTTTCTTACGTCGTAGCCTGCTGATATCATTTGGTGGACCAGAACTTGTATTTGGTCAAAAGTTGTTAACCAACTTTCAGCCGAAATCCCAGATGACCTCAAATTTACCAACTTTTGGACTACTTGGACCCTANCGTCGTCTAAGACGACGATCACCTCACATTAACTACTATCTCGTCGTCTCGCCGTCTGAGACGATTCCCTCTAGCTTAACCCACGCCCCTAAACGGTGCGGGGTCAAGCGGCCCCGAGATAAGTGGCTCCCTCACTCCTACCAAAGCAACAGCAAAGGCAGCACGTGGGTTTAGTGTATTTAAGATAAATAATTATTACTAGCACTTTCTTCCTGTTCATTTTATAGCGGTAACGACCGCGCTTACTATTACAGTTACTGTATTTTACTCCGTTATTACCGGAGTTATCATTAAAATCCACTGAATCATCCTAACAGACCCCATTCACGGCAAGGTCACAACGATTACTCTGAAGAGTCTGAACTAGCCAGTTGTAGTTTTTTGGAACTAATCTTATCCCTTTTATGGAGTTCTGCGCTTCCCCATTAAACTTTCCTTTGGAAGTAAAATTTTTCCATGATGTCGAGCTCGTCACTTTTATGAACTAGAGTTTCAAAGACCGCTCAAAATTCTGGGAAGTCTTCGGCATCTCCGTAGAATTTGTGCAGAGACGCTTGAGGTTGTCTGACTGAGCGATAGCCTCTTGAATGGTATATGTGCTTGACAGACTGCGACTCTACTGCGTTATCTGCCGAGGGGGTCCTAATATGGCTGCTTGGGCCTTGCTCAGAACCCTCGTCCGCGTTCATTTGCGAGGGGTGGTACTCTCTTCCTAAGGCTAGTTCTTGTAGCCTTTGCGCTTTCTGCGTGGTGTAACCTAACTTGACGCCTAACGCGTCTAACTGACGCGCACTTTGCTTCATCAAGGCGCGCAGTCAACATAAAACCGAGCTCCGCATTGGCCTATATAGTGTGAAGATCTGAATCCTCTTCTATTTGTTCTTTTTAGAGCATTGTATCCTTCCTATCTGCCTTATTCTTACAATTTTTTACTCCTCTGCTCTCATTATAGAGTTTCTGGAGTTTTTCCGTGCCTAGATTTATTTGTCTTATGCCGCTCTCCAGCAGCGCTATCGCAGACCTACATTGCTCGTAAGTATCTTCGTCTATCGCGGGGTAGTCTACTTTGGCTGTATTCTCCCTATAGCGCACTTTTCAGTTCTTCAGCGTCGTTGCGCTGGACATGATTGGTCTCTTGTGGAAATGAAGCGACATGTTCTTTGTGACTGCTTTGTATTGATGAAATATGAATCTTGCTAATAGAACCACGTTCGATTCATTCAATTATTCGAAAGATAGAATCACGTCCGATTTTATTTGGTAATTTGGAATTTGCAGAATCTTGTTCGATTCTACTCTATTCAAAATGTGTTTTTTTCACTTTTTGGCCGATGTACCAAAATGTGCGGGATATTTATAAATGCTCCGGTTATAACGGAGCAAATGTCACACAATAATATAGTAAGTGCGGTCGTTCCCGCTAGTAAAGCACAGAATAGTGGTAATAAGTACTTTATGAGACAGATAACTTACGTCTTGCCCGTGACGCTGTTATAGGGAGGAGTGCGGACCCACTTATCTCGGGTCCGCTTGACCCGGCACCATTAAGGGACGTGGGTTCAGTTAGGGAGTCGTCTCAGACGGTGAAACGACGGCATAACTACAGGAGATCGTCGCTATAGACGACGATATCCCTGAACGTAGTCGACTTTCGTTAGTTCAACATTGAGACTGTCGAGGATGGAAATTTGTCGATATTGTTCCCTATAAAATGTGATAACACAGATATAGCGGGGTGGAACTCACAGGCGAATAAGGTATTCAATGATCTGTTGGCAATTGGGCCTCGCTCTCATTTTAATACGATTTACTGCGCGCCTGGGCTGATTCTCCTTTTACGTCGGTGAACATAAATGGAATATCAGGCGCAGGGATATGCATGGTTGTCAAGAGAAGCTGGCGGGACCGAACCACAAACCAGCTGTCCGGCATAAGCTTTACGATTGGGGAGGATGATGAGTGCCGGATGAGACCTAAACGTGGTAATAAGAGGGGCCACCGGTACTGCAGAAGACTGCAAAAGGAGGGACATTACGCGCGCCGTGGAGGACAGGGTTTGAATTAGGAGGGCACTTGACGTGAGGTGCCAATTGGTGAACATCTCCTATATAAAAGTGCCGTGCGCGGGTTAACCATCTGGCTATTGCGAGCAACGTGGAATCCGGGACTTGCGAAGCTTAATCACCGATTACGGTGGTGAATTCGGTCAAATACGGAGTGAATATCCCGCCAGAAGCAGTGGAGTTAAGGAAGGGTGCTGTTGTCATGCATATGATCGAAGGACGACGTGCGGTGAAAATGATATTCACCACGCCCTTTAGAGTTCTTGCCATAATTCGTGCCACTAATGGTCTTGAGCTAGCTCGCTTAGACAAGTCAGAATCAGGTTATGAAAGATTGTAAGAGGTAGAGCTAGCGAGGAAGAATTCAAACTAGAGGGGATACCAATGCTAGGGACGAGATTGTGGGTACTAAGTGAGAATTACCACTAGCAGAGCCGAACTTAAAAAAGAAATCTTCACGCCTAATATAAAAATAACGTACTGTGGAGCAATCAATGGGATCTACTTGTTCTGAAGCAACTAAAGTAGAGGGATCAAGAAATGATAAAAGGGCTGTACCAGATGGAGGAATAATTTTAACTGAAGATTTAGAAAACAAGTGCCATCAAACGGAATCACTTTCGAATTGTTCGCAGGAATTGCCATGCAGCGATGATTTGGGATCAAGTCGGTACTCAGAGAAGAGGCTGCGATATCAGTGCGCCCCAAGAGGTTACGAAGAGTGAGAGTTGCGTTGGCGGCTAGAGATGTATGGAGAGCAAAAGCCAAGAGATTCGTCCTATCACAAAGTGATAATAACGTGTGAGAAAAAGGGAAGACACAACTGAACTCACCGAACCCTCCACTCCCAGGAGCTGCGCGGGCAATTGATTAGATGTCACTATGCCGGTGTTCACATCTGTCGACCGCAGACGACGGATAACTGGTGCAACAGCATAACCCTGATCCGAAACGATAAGCCGTGCTCCGCAGTCTAGAACGCGATCACTAGATTCACGCCAGGGTAGTGCAAACTTCTTAGAATCGCTGATTTCAATTTCGCCCAGTGGGAGAGGTAGCTCCGTGGCGCATGTGAACAACGGTTGGGATAAGAAAGCAGTTGGAAACTGCAACACTGCGCCACGAACAACACCCGAAGGGAGCTGAGGGCCATTTAATTATAATTGAATTTGAGGTTGCCCAAAAGTCGTTTGACTGAGTCATACTATCGTACTCACATTTATGATGCTGGATCATCAGCTTGCAGGATTCGAGGGACACTACGGGATGGGTTTCGGTAATGTTTTGGTAACACGCTCCGAATAGTTTACCGAGAAGGTAACGGACTGTCGAGTGTCATGGCCTTTTAGGGCGATGAATATGAACTGATAGAGCTTCACTCGATGCAAAACATAGAATTATAGAAACCGCGAAAAGCAGCTTAACTTGAGGCATCGGAATGGAAGACGAAGGTTGGCCGAAAGCAGAAGATGCTAACTCGTCATTGCGCCTTACTAAAGCATTGACCCTAGCGTCAGATCTTTCCAGTGCGGACTGATTCTCTTGCGAAGAAATAGAGGGCTCTGATCTGATCGCTAGCCTGCGGAAGCTCTCTATCCCTATCGTAGCGAGAAGGCGGAACACCATCACGGGATGAAATTCGAGAATTGTCACGAAAGATCACGACAGAAAACAAAGCTTCAAGAACAGCTGGGAGGTAAATGAATGTCGAAGGACATGGCTCTTTCGAATGTATGGGGGTGGGCGGAGCCAGCCAATGAGAGGCCGATACCGTAATCTTAGATGGTCAATTCCCAGAGCTGCTTTGATTCTTTTTCATGTTTCTAATTAAAATCTGATTCATGATGATGTTAGGGATGATGAGGCTTGGGAAAGCCGAGAATTCAAGACATTCAATGGAAACTGTAACCCTATCTAGCGCTTAATCTTTGATGATAAACTGCGGCCGCAGTGAACAAAGAGCGGTATGTGGTGGGATAGCGTCTCAAAAATTCAACGGCTGGAAATGTTGCCGTTCGAGCTGGGAGTCAAGATTACGAGTGAAAACACAAAACGATGGTAAAGATACGCGTTATGTTCGGGAAATATTAACTGTCGGAGCTAGAATTATGTAAAAATTGATATAAATGAGGTTCGTGAAAATAGACCCTAGTCTCAATATGAGAGCGGGTGAATAGTACTAGGTAACGCTAACGAGTAATAAGAAGAGGGGGCGGAGACTGCAACATATATTTTATGCCAAAAGGCGAAAAAGAAGCAGACGCGGCATGGCCTGGTTCTGGTGATTATCTCTTCCGTGTCATGGGTACGTGTTGACGTGCTCCTCTCAATGGACACACCATATGCGGACAAACGTCAGTGCCGCCGATGACAACATGCTCGAGATCGCCGGGAGGCGATGACCTACCTAAAAGAGAACTTCGGGGACCGACAAAATTAAGATAGGAAGGTCAGTGGAATTGATTCAGTAAAATGGCTACAAATTATCCACGTGGTGAGATGCTCTCGAAAACCGATCTTTGACTCGGACCGTGCGGGTCCATAACGAGTGAAACTCGTTAAAAAGATACCACGATGTCGACAATATTAGGACCCATTTAACTTACAACCGAGGTTCTACGACGTTTTACATAAATTTTCTTTTTTTTTTGTCATTTTTTTTCCTTTTGCAGATGATTATATCCTGCGAAAGACCTTTACACTCCAAGCGGGGTGAACTCGCATGCTTCCTCTAGTAGGCCTACCTTAACCTTTTCTCGCCGCCGTCACAAACACGATTTACGTCCCTAGAACAACCTCACAACAAACCAATTCCTTCAAAAAACAACTTAATTGCGGCGATGCACGGCTTACTCCGTTCGCTAGGGTACCCTTTTATAACCTTACTACGACTTGGGAGACTCCTTAACTTACTCCTTAGTCGACCTTCTTTCGAAACTGCTCCTTTTCTTGAAAGGCGCCAGATAGTTTTAGACCCCTGTCACAGGTGTAAGTCACAGTCACGAATTAGTGCGCTTCTAAAAAAGTTTTAAAAAAAGATCGTTCGTTATTGCCAGTTGGCTAACAGATGTGACTTACTAACTCGTGAAAACCTAGTGCAGCTGAACCGGAAAAAACTTAGCTAGAAAAAGAAAGTTCCTTAAAGAGCAACCGACAGTTGCAGCGGTACGGTACACTCCTGTCCGGAGTCGACTGTGAGGACGAAGAGAGCTGCAAATGGATTGCGGCTGGTAACTGGACACGAACGGGAACTTTCGCATCCAATTCGGACACGCCGAGACACCTAAAATTCATCTGGGCATCCACTTACCTTCTACAGCGAGGGGGGATCCACTCGCTGCTACCAGTGAGCTCGCGCGCACAGGGGAGCATGCTCAGTCTCTGCTGCTGTAAAAAACTATTAGATTATATATAATTTATCCGAATCACACCGGAAATAGACAAATATTACAATCGGAATCAACAAGTTACATGATAACGAAGAGGCACTTAATACAGTTCAACATAATATTCAATATGATACAGAGGCTGAGATTGAGATGGAATAATTCGTGGTGTCCAGGACATCGCCTCCATAGAGGAAGAAAGCCTGAGGCTGCCGTCCTCGGTGGCGAGCCCCTCGACTGATAGCCGAGCTTGCACGGCGCGTCTCACAATAAAGCTATCCCGTAAGAAGAAATATTTTGTCTGTGAATTTTTGCGTCTATCGCAATTATTTTACATTTTGATTTTTATTTTTACTTTATTTTACTGTAAAGGCTGAGTTCCCCTTTAGGATTTATCCCCCTCTTGAAGTTCTATAGCTTTAAGTCTAAAAGAAGTCAAGCAATGAGTATTTGGCCAACTAAACAGCAATTCGATATTGACCGTCTTTGATCGCTATCGACTATGAAAGTACTAAAATCGGCCAAACAAGACAGTCCAGTACCTATTTTCATCAAATGCTTGATTAGGCCCACCTTTCGAGGTATTAGCCGTAAACTTTGCTGTAGGTGTGTTCGCTACACTGCCACGCCGTAATCTACGCCTTTTTAGATGGGGATTGATGTTACAAGATAAAAACTGCTTTTTTTCTTTATTTGCCGTTCAGGATCGGTACAGCCTTTGTTTCTGTATCGAGTAGTCACAAACCAAATTATTAGGAGTGATACACGCTCCCAAAAATGTTTTCCAAGCCCATACCAACACTTAAAATTTTTATCTTCACAAATCAAATAATTCCTAATAAAAAGTGACTGGTGTGACAAGGTTCAATATTTAGAACACATGGATTGTGATATAGCCTCTTATCATGTGGACTCGTTCAATTACCTTGCCGAGGAAGGTGTTCATCTTGCTGCACTATCTGTTCCTACGGAGAAGTTTCGCCTTCCTTCCGGAGAGGCTGTTGAACTTAGGTTTACTGGTGCTTCGCTGGCGATGCCTACTATGGAATCCGAAGTAGGTTTGAAGAGAGCAGCACCTTCTGTTTCTAATCTGAGCCTCCTCAAATACTGTGCTTCCTAAAACGAAAAACTGTCGAGCTCTGAAAGAAAATACTGTGACGTGAAATCCATCTATACTTATGTTGAATCGTTTCAGAAATCAAATTATGCTGCCATTGATCAACTCCGGATACTCCCTTCAGAGTGCCGACAAAGAGGGCTGACGTATGCAGGAAATTTGCGAGTTGGATTGGAGGTGAGTAGTCTTGCTATGCATAGTTATTACTAGGCAATTGAATATCTGCTTATTTTTCTAAATTCTCCAAATACTCATTCTAGAGGGTGACTACCTGTTTCAAGGATGTTCATATTATGCACTAGGTACCTGAGTGTTTTATGGTCAATATTATAACTGAATGAATATCTCCTTTTTGAGAGGAAAATGTGAATATAGATTCTTCCATATGCATTTACTTGGTTGCGAATCTAATAAAATTCTTGGGCTGTTATTAGCCTCAGGAAAAGAGGAAATAAACCTCGTTTCATCCACGAGTGGGAGTGGTTTCCAAACTCTATGGCGGGCATTTTCATCACGCTCCCTACAGCTTCCTCGTACCAGTGTCACAAACCATCGAACAGGCAGAGAGTTTGCTATCTGTGTTAGACATGGTTTTCGAAAAGATTGTCTGCTAATGATCCAATGAAGACAGTCTCATGGGAAACGGGCTTGTACTTTGCGCTCCTTTTGTCACTTGATACAAAAAAAAGCGAAACAGGGTGCGGTCAATTGATACGCTTTAGCTAGTTGATGGAATAGGAGGTTGTTGACCGAGTCCCTCAGGCCGTTAACGAACGATATGACGACTAAAAGCCCGATAGTCTTTACGGAAAGTCTGAGCAAAAGAAGTAGAACAACAAGTGCATGAGTGACGTTAGCCAATGTTCACCGTTCCGTCGTTTCTCTATACAACATGCATGTCACGATTGCTTCGCAGAGAATATCTAAGTGAAAGAAATATTTTTGAAGGTTTTTTATAGATCAAAGTCAATGGACAAAGGATTGACGTACTGGAAACGGTGATTGGAAGAGTACCCGTAATGCTCAAGTCAACAGTATGTCACCTGAGCAAAATGAATAGGAAAGAACTATTGAAGGCCGGCGAAGAAGCAACGGAAAAAGGCGGATACTTCATCTGTAAAGGGAGCGAAAAAGTGAGTTATTCCCATATCTCGTAATTCATATAATATATGCTGTTTTGTTACTATGTCTACAGGTGATTCGTTTACTGATCGCAAATCGACGGAATTTTCCCATTGCGCTGTGCAGGAAGTCATTTCGTGAAAAGGTGAGGGCTTACTCCATGTCGTTTTCTTTTCGTTTCTTCATAGATTTCAAGTTGGGTATCACTCGGAGATCCTATAAATGTTTTTTTCAAAAAAGGAGGTATTTACCCATTGAGTACCGGCCACCCGTCTTCTGATCGTTTTCTGGTTTGCATGGACGTTGGTTATAGTTTCTGTTTTAACGTGGTTATTCAAAACCATTGCTTCAACTTTTCATGAAAGCACGCATTCGTAGAGGTTTCAGTAACTAACTCTGCCAGCAACATAATTTTCAAAGTCTGATGCCTAAGGTGTTATGTTGAAATCAAAACATGGCTTTCTTTTACCCCTGCTAACTGTTAATACAGCTTATCTGTTTTCACAGAGGTCCGGTGGCCATAATCACTCTCTCTAGGCATTGCTGAACTCCCACGCAAGTGAACAAACCTTCATTCATAGGAAAAGAGGCGACAGCTATTCTGGCTTTTGAACGAAGATCGTGTTTTTTCTAAACTCTTTATAGGGGCTTTTATTCACTGAATACGGAGTGATGATGCGATGCGTGAAAGATAATCACACTGCTGTGATGATGACTATCCATTACCTTGAATCAGGAACTATACAAGTCGCCTTGCAAGTGGGTAAAGAATATCTAATTGGAATTCTAACTTTTCATTAAAATGCTCTGCTATGAATTGCCAGCGTTTAGTATCGTCGAGAAATATTCTATTTGCCGTTTATGTATATTTTGAAAGCCTTGGTTGACAAGAATGACGCTTTGATAGCTGCTGAGTTGAAACGGTATTTTTCGTTTTTTCTAATTGTAATCATGTTTTTGTTGATATTTGTTTTGAATTTCGATATTCAGAGGACGAAGTGAGGATGCATTTTTCTCGTCCTGTATGATGAATATGCTTTCACAGTGTCAAAATGAGGGTGTCATGAATCGCGAGGATGCTTTGCGAGCAATCGGAGCACGCTTCCGAGTCGCAGTTGCTGATCGCATTGCTCCGTGGGAGGATAGCGAGGTGAGAAGTAGTTTCATCATTCTTCTCACAAATACTTTTTGTGGATTTTCCCTTTCCTGAATTTCAATTTTTTTTGCACTTCTTCAAATCGACTCGAAAATATCCTAGAGCTACCTATTGTGCAGTTCGAATGGTAACATTGATTAAAATGGTTTCATGGCGAAGTTTTTTTTACAAAGGGTCCTATAGAGAGTGCGAGAGAATGGTAAGCTTTCTTAAGTGGGCATTCACAGAAATCGAACTCAATGGCCTCTGCGCATGAGGTGTGTTGTGAGGCTCCCAATTCAACCAACCTCTGGATCACATTTTGAGATCTTTAATATTGTCAGTTTCATAATAAAAGTTCCTCGCATAACTGAGTCATAGATTCCATTTCACGATAAACCATACCGGTGATTCGACCGCACTTTTTTATAGGCGCGAAATATGCTCATTCGAGCATAAGATTGTGTGTAAGTTGATATGAGAGGCTGATTAACAACAAAAATTGAAAAAGGAATTTCCTTGATGCATGTAAAGACGTGCTGCTCTTAAGGTGGTTTTTATCATGATCTGTAAATCAGTTTTTTTTTCACCTGTATGATGATGATGTAATTTTATTGCTATTCCAAGATCTCTTTCGCGCTAAACAAAATAGGCAATCTTGATTCATTCCGTTCGACTGATTGCGCCAGTACATCGCCGGTTCATGTGTAGTGTTGTTTATGGGTCACAATTTGTCATAATGTGACGTAATCAGCTAGTTATGGGTCATAAATCGATATGAATGAAATCTGGTTGAGAATTCAGTTCTTTTGGGTAAAGAGGGGCGAAAGCTTGATACACTAGTAGAAGAGTCATTCATTTAGATAACAGGCCGCTTTATTATTGACTCATGCGTTGCGGTGCATTTGGATGACTGGGACGAAAAGTTTTGCCTGCTCGTTTATATGGCTCAGAAGCTCTTCGCCCTCATCAAGGTACAGTTATGGCTCAGAAGCTCTTCGCCCTCATTTTTATGAAAACTAATTTTGAATAAAATTCATGTTCATCATCACGAATTGCAGCAAGTGCAGTTACGCATTTCAGGGAGAGTGCGCCCCAGAAACGCCGGATAATCCACAATTCCAGGTGAGACCGCATTTTGTTCTCGTCTTTATTTGTAACACTTATCTTCACACCTGATCACTAACCATGCTCCCATTTGTGCTCAGGTTTACTAGATTCCCTGATCGGGCGTATGCGTTCCTACCGCCAAGATAACGGGGTCATGACATACTCGCGGCACATGGCGATTGAGATGTATGCCTTTGTCGTGAGCATGGAACGACATGTCCGCTGTGGAATGCCAAGAAGGGGCTTCATTTTCCGTCTGAAACTTCAAATTTTTTTCTCCCAATTCCTCATTTCCTACGCAAGGCTGTTCTGCAGACATCATTTTTTCTTATGCTTTCAGTTTTTCCTCTTTATTTTATAATGCATACATACCTGTGATGGAGACGAAGAGGAATTCGGCTTTAATCTTGCCTCAAGATGCATTGCGCCGCGCTGCGTTATGGGGTCGGACCTCAATATATCTGTTATAGGAGCACACACTCTTTTTCTCGATCAGTGTAGTCCTTTTTCTTGATTCTATCCTTCTTCAGTTGTGACCACTTTCTATTTTTCCATTTTTTAAAAGTGGTGGCTACTGTACCCACGACTCGATTTGTTTGACCTTAGTTCTCATCTGACAATCATCTTTTATAGCACTAGGCATTTACTTTTCGACTCTTAGATCCCAGAGAACTTGGAAAAAGATCTCTTACTTATCTGCGCTCATTTATAGTATTGAGCTTGTTGNCGAATCTTTGGTTATGTGGGTAGCGTGGCTGTTACATCAAGACCTTGAAGCCCCAATTCTACAGTAAAGCAGGTAACACTCTGAGCCCCGTTCCTACTACTAATAGGGATATCATCCCTTGTTAGTGGAGAGCACGAGGCTGAAAGTAACGTGCCCAAGGAAATTGAGACGTTCATTCCATCTCGCGAAGAAGTGATTGTTGTCGAAATTTGATTGTTTGAATTGCCAATCTGGTTGATTTTAACTCAAGTCCATTCCTTAGTAAGCTAAAATCTCCGGTGAGGTCAATAACTGCTGCAGTCTGGGGCTCATTATGGAACTCTTTTCAGAGGTTCTTCATAACTGGGAACCTCTGAAATTTCGAAACATCCTAATGTATACCTGAACTAAAGAAAACTTATTGTAATTTTTAAGATGTTTAGGAAGCAGCCGTTTCTGGTCACATTATTCTGTTGATCATTCGAGAACGAATGGAAAATATTCTTGGTATAGCCCGCCGAAAATTGGAATATAACGCAAAGCGTAAAAAAGACAGTTTTGTTTTGACTTCGTGAGTTTTGAAATCGCATTTCAATGTGGCTGCTTTTCAATTAGTATTTATATTTAGGAATGAAGTTCTTCGAGCTCTCAGCACGAGTAATGCGGAAATAACGAGAGGTCTCGAGTACTTCCTCGCAACTGGTAACCTCATAACCAAAATAGGGTTATCTTTGCAGCAGGTGAAACAGTTTTTAGTTTTTCCTTTTCCTTAAAATTTCTTCAACTTCATCACTTGGCCTTTTATAAGTTACCAGGTTAATTATGTGTCAGGAAACGGGATTCTCTGTAATAGCTGAGAGGATAAATCAACTTCGCTTTGTGTCACATTTCAGAGCTATCCACAGGTAAGGAGTTCCGCAAGCCTTCAGTAAAATTAAATAATGGCACATTTTCTAGAGGAGCATTTTTCACTGAAATGCGAACTACTGATGTACGTAAACTACGCCCAGAAGCATGGGGTTTCATTTGCCCTGTTCATACTCCTGATGGTGAGTGTCTTACTTGTTTTTGAACGGTTTTGAGCAAGTACAACCTCTAGGACATGAGAGAGGAAAGCTCAATTAACTTCATAGTTAGGGGTAGAATCCTAGACCCAGGTATAAAGTGGTTGAACACCACGATAGTGATATAAGTAGAAGAGACCGTGGCTAATTTAACGGTTCATACTAGCTCATTTCTTGCTATGGAATGTAAGGAGTGTGTGAGTTGCCGGTTTGGCTATTTTCCTCCAAGTTGGCAAACGCCGCAAAGACCATGTTGTCACTTTTCTTATCCAGGAAATGCCAGAACTATCAAAATGCGTTTTAGCTATCGGTTGGAGTAGAAATCGGCAGATTTTTTGCATCACTGATATTTCAGACTTTGTAGTACTTGTAATTAATACGGTAGACTGGGAAGTATCGGCGGTCCTCTTTGTTCGTTTTCTACAAGAGGAGTTGGTAGTCTTCCTCATGACATCAAGCGTTGATAGTCTTTCTCAAGAAGATAAGAACCGGTAGTTGTGAATATCACAATACTAAACTGTAGCTGCATATAATGCAGGTACACCTTTTTTGAATCAGTAACAGCTTGCTATGTTCTGAACTTCCAGGTGCTCCTTGTGGTCTTTTGAATCACTTAACTGCTTCCTGCCGGATCGTTACTCACTACTCTGACTTAAGGGAACTGCCAGCCTTCTTGGTAGATATGGGAATGATCTCATTCAAATCGATTGCGATTGCATCCTCCACTGAAAAGGTAATGTTGTTTCGAGAGAGCAGCTGCAAAATTAGGCTTCATAAATTCCAATGAAAGTGTGAACTTTCCTGGTCATAAGATTAACTTAGAGCTTGGAATTGGGTCGCAGTTGCTTCGTGCAATGCCTGCAGTAGAATTATGACTTCCATGAGAGTTAAAATATTCTTTATTTCTGTGAAGTTTTGACTTGTAATTAAATATGTAGAGGCGGATCTAAAAAATCCACATTGCAACCGTGACTGGCATCTTCTTCGGAAATCTGTAAGGATCCCCCTCAACGTGCTAGTTGGGCACTGATATCTTCAGAACATAGCCTTCAAGGGCATAATCCTTCGGGGGCATTTACGACTAATTTTTGATGAAATCTAGCCAAAGTTTTGACATGATTCCACCATTTCAAGTGAATCCTGCCTCGAGAGAAACTCTTCATTTTAACAGTATTATCCCGTCCTGCTCGATGGTCGTTTTATTGGCTATATTCCTGTAAAGAAAGCCACAAACATAGAACGGCAACTGCGCTGCGTCAAGACAGATCTCAACGATTCCAGGGTACCATGTGTTGCTGAGGTGATGTTTTCTCGAATTTGTCCATTCTATTCCAGTAAGTTACAATTATACTCTGTCAACCGAGAGCGGACCTCCTAACTTTTTTATCAATACTACCAATACTACGATGACGTGGTATATTCAGATAGCCTTAGTTCATCAGTCGATAGACATGAAGAACATACAGACGCAATATCCCGGTTTGTACATACTTTCCGATCCTGCTCGACTGATTCGTCCTGTGCGAAATCTCATGACCAATTCAACAGAGTTTATTGGTGAGTTGGTCAAAGTTCCTGCGATATTTTGGTGCCGCAGTTAGTTGCTAGAGCCTACTTTGCTGTAAAATGTGCTCAATCGTATTATTACAGGAACATTCGAACAGGTTTATTTATCTATAGTCATTGATCCTTCGGAAGCAGAGCCTGGCGTTACTATCCATCAAGAACTTCATCCGAGTTGTTTGTTTTCGTTCGCTGGGAACCTCATCCCTTTTCCTGATCATAATCAGTCTCCTCGGTATGTTCTTACGACATATTTTTTGGAATAATTATTTTCATGTCAGTGTTCACAAGTGCCATTCATTTTTGAAATTCTGGTGGCATGGGATAATGACTTATTTCTGACGACTTATGATTTTATTTCATTACATAGTTGCCCTCGAGCTTCCGTCCAACAGCTTTCGCGCTCATTTCTCACTCATGAGTTTGAGAAAGGCTATCGTGGGAAATATCTCCGTCGCGCGACTGTCCCTCTTGGCGTTTGGCTTTTTCTTCCTCGCTTATTCTTACGGCCTTAATCTTGCTCACTTTTGATGTTTTTCTTGCTTTTTTGAATACATCTGCAAAGGAGGCTACGAAAGCCAGACGTCTGTCCTCATAATTTCTTTTCCATCTCACATACCGTTAGGGAAGAATACTGTGTGAAAGTGTTTGAATACACGCACTTGAGCCTAAACTAGCATCCCAGAAACGATCTATTAGATTGTAAGGGAAGTTTTTGCCGTTTCGGCGCACGCGCCATATGAATTCAAATTGTAGCGGCTGTCGAATTAGACCAATCGACGTATTGTGCTTATTAGGTTAGCCGTGAGTTGTTCCTTCAGTCAGAGCCTTTTTTTCTCAGAACTCCATGAGGTTTTTGAAATCCAAGACATTCTCCTCCGGGATAGAGAAGGCTGGTATTAAACGGTTTTACCTAATTGTAGCAAGCATGGAGTAGAGCGAACTACGAAACAGGTAGCCACAAGCATCAACATTGCATGAGGAGAGGTCCCTGCTGCGGAGCGTACGGTCTTCGGTTTCAGAAGTTTAGAAATGGAGACGAGTAATTGGAAGGCCAAGGGCGAGTTGGACGACCATTGGTAGTCAATCACAATGCTTCGCTAAGAGCAGTCTAAGAAGTCGACGCCAATCTTTGATAAAGATTGCAAAGCATAAGAGCGTTCCACATACATTCGTCGTTAACCACCTCAAGCAGCCTGGGATGGTGAAGAGTCTTGACAAGTGGATGCCAAGCAGCAATTGAGGCGCCTAAAAATTCAAGTTCCTTGCTGAGATAAAATGATATTGAGCTATTCCTCCATGGAATGTAATCTTTGATATAAAATGGGTCGTATATGACAACAGTAAATGTTCGGTGGTTAGGTGTAGATGAACCTCCAAAAATTTTTTCCATACCAATTTTATACGTTAAGAAGACAACGATCACTTTGGTGGCCCACACGTAGATTAGTCCGCCACTCGTTTCGTCGTCCGATCAAACCATTGCCGCATAGTCTCACTGTAATCGAATTCATGAGATGTACACGAAAGTGGAGCGATTGCAGTCACCTAGTGAATCACCTGTTTTTGCACAATGCACGAGCGCATGTGTCACAAATCGTCCTTCAGAAGTTGAACGAGCTACGGATCGAAGTCCTCCTTCATTCTCCCTACTCATCAGACCTTTCGTTTACTCACCTCTATTTATTCAAACATTGGGACAGCTTCTGAGAGGATCGAGAATTCAAAGATCAAAGCTACGTGGAAACTGCTTTCTCGAATAGATTGGAATAGAGAAAATTGTGCACGTTGTTAAAGGTATGTAAAATCGACTGGAACTTACTTCGAATAAGAATGTTTACTCTGAGATGAGTTATGATTCTTTTAGAATTAGCTGTCAGAACAGCAAGAACTTTCCTTACAACCTAATAAATACGAGAAACTTTTGACTATCGCATCCACTCCCTGGTGTCACTCATGTATGATGAATCTCTGCCAGACATATCCTCGATTCTAAAGTGAGCTCCGATAAGTTACGTTCCTAAGATTTAAGGTTTGGCTGATGCAAATTGAAGAAGCCTCGTTCCTGGGATCATGGCAGAGCAAGAATCATTAGCAAACCGAGTAACGCGGCTTCCAATCAAAACTTTTATCTCTGCTGTTACGTAGTGCACTTTCAGCTCTTGTCCCTGCCAAGAGAAAGCGGAACTTCTGTCTCTTTGGACAGTCCGAAAAGTTGCCTTTTGGGCTTATTACTAGCTTGGTCCGTCCTGACTAGTAAGCTGCCCTCATGCTCAAACATTTTAAGCCATGTGAATCTAATTTCAAGCCATATGAAACATTGTGTCGGGCACCTCTCCGACTAAATATCTTCTGATATTTAACTTGATGGTTTCACGCTGTTGAGAAGTATATTTGCATGATTAGTTCGTTAATGATTAACAGTTGGGTCCGTTTAAGAAACAAACTCTCAATGAAAAGATATACTGCCTGTTTGAAACAGTTTGCTACTCAGGAACGTTTATCAATGTCAAATGGGAAAGCAAACTATGGGGACCGCAGTACACGCTTGGCATACGAGAGCAGACAATAAAATGTATCGACTTCAGGTAAATATTATTCTGTCGTTATTTGTGAAAGAAGTATTCACTTTTGTGTTTAGTTTCCTCAGAACCCTCTGCTCAAACTGGAAGCGTACGAACGTTATGAAATGGATGAATATCCGTCGGGAACTAACGCATGTGTCGCTGTTATTTCTTACACCGGTGTGGTAGTATTCAGCTCTTCCGTAGAAAATGAGAAGAATGAGCATTTTAAGGGTACGATATGGAAGACGCTATGGTAATTAACAAGTCATCTTTTCAACGCGGTTTTGCACACGGGACAGTTATCAAAGTTGAAAGGTAACATCAAGGCATTGTTGGGAGGTGCCAGATGCTTTCTCGTGGCTCTTCTTTCTCTGGAAGGTTGTATCTAGTTTTCTGAAGCTCAAAAATACCAATTAGAGAGCGGATTCTCAGTAATATTTCATCAGAAAGAGAGGAGTCGTAGTCTTTTCCTCCCTACAGCTGATCCCTTGTCGAGTCCTCTCTTTTATAAGTTGACACATTCTCTCTTCTCTAGGTAGGCGGGGTGAATAAGAGGATGATTATTGATGATTAAATGTGGATTCAGTTCTACTTGATCACGCCCCTCAACCTTTTCTTTGTGGCTTCTTGCAGTCGCGTGACTTAAGCTTTCAAGCCGCTTTCCTTAGCGGTTGGTCCTGTGTGCCAGCGCGTATCCACAGCATCGCGGGCACTGCTCATCATATTCACCTGGTTAAAAACTGTGAACGTGACCGTCTAGACATACCGTATCTAACTCGGACCAGTCGCATACATCCGCTGGCCCATCTTATTGCCAGCGTCACGACTTCAAAAAAGTAGAGTCGCACTCCTTCTCGTTTATGGCGCAGGTCGCGCTGTCTACCAGCGGATTCTTATTTCATCTGCGCCCCGTTTTTGCGAGCCTTTACTGCTTAGTTCTGTAGAAGACTGCCTATTTTTCAAAGGATGCTTAAGTGTTTTTTTTTCAAGGGCAGCGTATACAATCGATTGGATATTAGTAGAGGTGAGAGGGACTGTAGAGGACTCACAAAAGGAGGGAAAATCAAGTGAACTCTTGAAATCCAGCGAAATGGGGCAGGCTCTACAGATCATTCAAGAACAACTCGATGATGTTAATGAGCTCTCTTTTTGACATGAGGTTCGTCTGCACCTCCTGCTTTCTCACTATCTTTACTCTCCTATGTCACCATTTCGTAGTTACGGATTGCCATCGCTGCTCAACTCATGCATTGCAAGAGACATGTGCAAAATAACGCGACAAATTGTATGTGTTTTTCTTGTGGTCTAACTACGCTGCTGCTAATGAGTCTCTACCCGCAGAAGAATCGTATCTTTGCTCCAACTCCTCCAATTTTTCCGTCACTTTACCACGATTTTTTTGTATAACATCCTTATTCACAAACCCTGCTTATCGTACACACGTTTTTTAATGACCGAAAAAGCATAGTTCCAACGAAACATGAGCAAATACCAAGAACAAACTTTGTAATCCTCAGCAGTATTCCAAGGAGGTCGTGTGAAAGCAAAATTTTAGAATCAACTTGGTTACGACTACCGAAAAGAAAACTTTGTTTCGTATGGATCCCAAAAGTCCTTTTGATACAGTTGGTTGTGACGGTCTTCCAATTCCAGGACGGCGCTATTTCGAAGGTTAAATCCTGATTCATAATTATTTACCGAATAGTACTCATATAAATGATTCGTAATATAAGTGTGGACTTTCTGCCGGTAAAATTGCTGCGCACACAGGCTTTTGAGTAATTTAGTTGACTTTTCAGGCGATGTATACTACGTTACCTACAATCAAGATACAGGATTACATCAGTCACACAAATTTCATTATGCTGAACCTGCTTATTGTGGCATTGTACGCCTTGTCCACCAAGACAATGCCGAGGAAGGCGCAAGGGTAATCGCTGAATTAACTTCATAGAACTCCATTTTCTTGTTAACCATCGAAGTATCAAGAATTGTTCATGTTGTAGCATGCCTTAATTCAATGGCGCATAGAAAGGAACCCAATTATTGGCGACAAGTTCGCTTCCAGACATGGTCAGAAAGGAATTAATTCATTCCTGTGGCCTGTGGAGAATCTGCCGTTCAGTGAAAGTGGAATGGTTCCAGATATCATATTCAATCCCCACGGTTTTCCCAGTCGAATGACTATAGGTAAGGCACTGATGTTTGAGAATGCTTCCATAAACAACCTTTTCTTGGATTTTGTTTTCATTACAGGTATGATGATTGAAAGCATGGCAGGAAAAGCTGCGGCCATGCATGGCGAAGTTTATGATGCATCTCCATTTGTTTTTAAGTAAGTCACTAACTTATTTGAAACGAAGCCACGACGTTTTTGTACATTTCAGTGAAAAGCGAACAGCAATTGATCACTTTGGAGAACTACTAGCTAAAGCTGGTTTTAACTATCACGGAAATGAAACCTTCTATTCTGGTGTAGATGGAAGGCAACTTGAGGTCCTGTTTCTCTTTGATCTCTGGTCTTTTTTCAATGAATTTCGATTTTTAGGTACAAATATTTTTCGGTATAGTTTACTATCAGCGACTTCGGCATATGATCGCTGACAAATTTCAGGTTTGTGTGATTTGAATGAGCATCTTCTCCCTTTTTATCATTTTCCATAGAATGCCACTATCAGACTCCGACCTGTGAATCATGTCACTTTAAAATGTCTCGTGTGAGAGTTTTCGTGACTCAGTTCTTTGAAATCGCTTCCGCAGGGAAGCTTTCTTTTTCCGAATTGCGCCATTCCTGGTTACTCTTTCTAAATTCTCTTTCGTAGAAACCATACCTTCTGTGATGTCGCGATAAAGAGATTGAGTACGGAACGGAGAATTGGATTTAGGAACCTTATTTGATGGTAACATGACACAGGATTAGGAAAGTGAACACAATTTTCTCAAGGGTATGTATGAATGCGTGTATATGTGCGCATGGACGCCGTGTATGTGCTTTGAAGACATATATGTGCATCTGAATTGTAGGAATGGTAGACGGTTCATAATCCCCTCTGCTCTGAACCTGGAGTGTTTAGATCTAAAAAGGAAGCAAGGGTGACGGACCTAGTCTCATCATTCATTTACAATCCCGTCATAATCAGGGATGCTGAGATGTCTACTGTCGCTACCCTTACTAAATAAATAAATATATATATGCATAGTTATAAGGCACTAGCGTCGGTATCTGTCTGTCACGAAATTCCCGAAAATCTGAATAAACTCTTGAAAAGGTCGGGC